TTTTAGCAAATGGCTGCAATATAACAAAGAGTGAAAAATTTAAGGGGGTCTGAATACTTTCCGTACCCACTGTATATATATAAATCTAAAATTAAATGCATTAGTCTTATCCCAAGTTGTCTCATCACATCATGATCACTGCGGTCCGTGGCTGTTTCCCCACCCTGCACTTATGGAATGTGATCTGCAGATCGCTCATAATCCTATGCTAATGTACACATCTAAAGCAGTGAATCCAGGCTTGCAGGATATTATTCTTTTTCTGAGGACGACTTTGTACAGTGGGATTAGTGAAGAGACAGAATAGCTCAGATTGACTGGGTCAAGTCTTTCAGAACCCACATTTTAACAGGCATCTAGCAGCCTAAAAATGTGATATCCTATATTTTATTATTAGTGCTTATTGCATACAGGCATTTAGTTGAAGAATTGTTAAAGGAATAGTTCATCCAAAAATTGCTGAAAATGTACTCATCCTACTCATCCAAATTTAGCATTACATCACTTGCTCGCCAATGGATGCTCTGCAGTGAATGGGTGCCGTCAGAATGAGAGTCCAAACAGCTGATAAAAACATCACAATAATCCACAAGTAATCCACACCACTCCAGTCCATCAGTTAACATCATGTGAAGTGAAAAGCTGCATGTTTCTATGAAACAAATCCATCGATGAAGAAACAAACTCATTTTTGGGTGAACTATTCCTTTAGTAAAATGATTGCATGAGAGTGCAAGACCAATTTCAACATATTTCTTCATTATTTCACCAGGGTCTGAAAGGGCCTCCAGGAGACCAGGGACATGAGGGTCCAGCAGGAACTAAAGTAGGATCATATCTTCAGTGAGACGTCTGTGACTGATATTTGTGTCTTAAATAGAGACGGAGATCTGGTGGTAAAGAATGACATTTTAGAGATGTTTCCATTTCGGTTTAAATGCAGATCTTTTGCCTTTCGTGTTTAACAAAGAGTGCCTTGAAAATCTGACAAATATATAATAACACTTAACACATACACATAATGCAAAAACACTTTCACTGTTAGACACAAGGGGTGCCTTTATGCTCTGTAAATGTCAATTGGAATAAACATGAGAGAAGACATGTACTGAACCCTTTCACCATATCTCACGCTAATAGTAGCCTGTTGTCATGGATATTACGACTTAAAGAAAAAGTAGCAATGTTACATGTACTCAAGATGACTGAGATTTGGCAGCAAATATATCAGCATTAAATTAACATGAACTTTAAATTTATATGAAGATCCAAATGAATCACTGACCTTCGGGTTGTTCCTAGGGTGATCGAGGGCTGGTTGGTGCATCTGGTCCACCGGGAGATACTGGAGTCGGATTCCCTGGTCCAAAGGTAAACTTCTCAGGACTTTTGAAAGAAATTAATACTTTTAATCAGAAAGGATGCATTGAATTGATCATAAGTGACAGTAAAGACATGTATAATGTTACAAAAGATTTCTATTTCAAATAAATGCTGTTCTGTTGAACTTTATATTCATCAAAGAATCCTGAAAAAAAAAACGTATAAAAAAAAAAATATATATATATTCTAATATATATACATATACATACATATATATATATATATATGGTTACACTTTATTTCGATAGTCCACATTAGACATTCTATTAACTATAAGTAACTTTGTAACTACATGTCAACTAATTCTCATTAATTTGCAACTACATGTCTACTAACTCTCAGAGTAGACTGTTAGGGTAGGTTTAGGGTTAGTAGAATAAGTTGACAAAGAAAGTGTTAGTGTGTGTTCACTGCTGTGTGTGTGCACTTTGGATGGGTAAATGCAGAGCACTAATTCCGAGTATGGGTCACCATACTTGGCCACATGTCACGTCATACATACATGACAAGTCCTCACATCATTACAGTAATGGAAACTGGGGGAAATTGTCCTTAAATGTCATAGTAATGTCACAATGCAAAAAATCAATCAAATCAATCAGTCTTAATGATCCTAAGATAGCCTTCATTTTTGGGGTGCACATTGTGGTGTGAGATTCTGTTCAGGTGTGCTCAGAAGTGTTTTTGTGGTCTGCAGGGCTCCACTGGTCAGACTGGTCCAGCTGGTCCTCCAGGATTACCAGGAGAGGGCATACAAGGACCAAAGGTAACAGGAATCTGAGGCTTATCAACAAGATACAATATTCTCAGAAACACATTATAGTGTGATGTACAACAGTGAAATACTGAAACTCATTAATTGACATGCATTTTATGCTTTATTCTGTTTTGTACAGGGTGATCCTGGATATCAGGGAATACAGGGGCCAAGAGGGTTTCCTGGGGAGGGTCTGCCGGGGCAGAAGGTGAGGAGAGTCATATACCCACTACTAGCATGCATTTATATTTTGTACAGCAAGCATTAAATGAATCCTTCACATAATTACATTTACTCACCCTCATGTCATGCCATACCTGTAGGACTTTTCTTCCATCAAACACAAAATGAGATGTTAGCCGCTCTTTTCCACCAAACTGGTGATTTATACTGCCAAACATATATGCAATCAAAAAAATGTTGCATCACGTCAGGCTTGAAAACATGACCACGATTGTGAGTTTTAGCTCTGTAATGTAACTACTTTATACTAGGGCAATCGTGGGTTACCAGGAACACAAGGACGTAAAGGAGACAGAGGCAGCCATGGAGAACCAGGACCTACAGGACCACCGGTGAGAAGAACCGAGAAGGAAAATTTGATCAACTGTCAACCCTTCACGCGAGACTTGCTTTTTAATCATTAAGCATTATGATAGCTGACAACGCCAATATCATTCCAAGCACTGAACATTGTGTTTTATAATCGCAGGGTAATACAGGAACAAAAGGAGAACCTGGTCTCACGGTACGTACACAGATGTCAATAAAGAATTCATTTTGGAACTTTTTAAGTAATTTGTTCCAGTGTAAAACAAGTATTGTATTATGCTGTTGTTGCATGACCTCATGCCAGCTGTAAATAGAAAACTATTTAGCATTTTTATCCCATTTTTGGGTAAAAATAATTTGATTTTTTTGGTCAAATAATGTAAAGGTAAGGTAAAGTCCAGTGCATTGCATTATGGGATATAGTATTCCACACAGGGCTTACTGCTCATGTTGGTCATGATTTGTGGTAAGTATTCAAATTGCAGATGTTTTCACTAAATTTGATTGCTTAGTGATGAACTGATTTGGTCTAAATGATTTATTCTGGTTTGTCCGGTTGTGGTCGGATATGCAGAGTACGGCCTCTGGAGCTGGTGTTTGTGATTGACAGCTCTGAGAGCGTCGGCCCGGAAAACTTTGAGGTCATTAAAAACTTTGTGAATACCTTGATCGACCGCGCGTCAGTCAGTCTGGAGGTCACGCGTGTCGGCGTGGTTCTCTACAGCCACATTAACCTGGTGATCACAAGCATACAAGAGAGGTTAAGTCGTGATATATATATATATATAATTATTATTATATAAATATAATACTTTTTCTAATTATTATTACACATGCAGTTTTTATGATTTTATATTAATTGAGAGACTGACACTTGCATCAGTTTTAAAAACATGATGTATCTAAAAGCCATATTTGATCTGAAAGCTACATCATGTTTGCTGAGAAAAGTAATTATTTAATTGAATTACATAATAAATGCTCTGCAGTGTGGCATTTTTATTGTACATTTATTTTTTTATTATTATTATTATAAAGTTAGGCACCATTTTTCTAATTATTATGCATGCTGCTTTTATGACGTAATATTAATAGAGACGACAATATTTGGAGTATTTTGTATGTTTTAAAAATGCAGGACTGTTTTGGTGAACAAAAAAAAAATCTAAAAACAAAACAGTCAATGTTAATGGTCAACTTTCCATCTGTTATTATCAATGTACTCTAGTTCTGAACATATACATATTTAAACATATGAACATATGTGACCCTGGACCGGTCCGTGTACGTTTTGATCATTTCATCTCCTATTTGGAATGCAACAACGAGAA